CAATCAATGCACGAACCACACTCTCGTTGTTACTTTGTTGGACAGCATCAAACAAAGCAGTTTGCTCATCACCACGAGTCATGTTGACATCGGCACTAGCATTAATCAATGCTCGAACCACACTCTCGTTGTTACTTTGTTGGACAGCAAAAAACAAAGCAGTTTTACCATCCTCATCAGTATTGTTGACATCAGCAGCAGCATCAATCAATGCACGTACTACACTCTCGTTGTTACTTCGTTGGACAGCATAACACAAAGCAGCTCTGTCTTCTGAATCAGTAATATTAACATCAGTACCAGCATCAATCAATGCACGAACCACACTCTCGTTCCTATGTTGGACAGCATAAAACAAAGCAGTTCTGTCTTCCTCATCAGTTATATTGATATCAGTACCAGCATCAATCAATGCACGAGCCACACTCTCGTTGTTACTTACATGGACAGCAAAAAACAAAGCAGTTTGGCCATAGTTATCAGTTTTGTTGACATCAGCACCAGCATCAATCAATGAACGGACTACAATCTCGTTGTTACTTTGTTGCACAGCATAAATCAAAGCAGTTTTCTCTCTATATTTATCAGTTATGTTGACATCAGCACCAGCATCAATCAGTGCACGAACCACACTCTCGTTGTTACTTTGTTGGACAGCATCAAACAAAGCAGTTTGCTCATCACCACGAGTTATGTTGACATCAGCACCAGCATCAATCAATGCACGGACTACACTCTCGTTGTTACTTTGTTGGACAGCATGAAACAAAGCAGTTTGGCCATCGTCATCAGTATTGTTGACATCAGCACCAGCATCAATCAATGCACGGACTACACTCTCGTTGTTACTCTGTTGGACAGCATGAAACGAAACAGTTTTACCATCATATTGAGTGTTGTTGACATCAGCACCAGCATCAATCAGTGCACGAACCGCACTATCATTGTTACTTCGTTGGACAGCATGAAACAAAGCAGTTGTGTCTTCTATATCAGTTATATTGACTTCAGCACCAGCATCAATCAATGCTCTAATCTCGTTCTCGTCTCTTTGCATTACGGTATGATACAACAGATCAGACTGTTCAGTACTGTTTTCAGTAGTCATCCTCTTATGTCAGAAGGCTTCATGACCAACTGTAATATACTGTGAAAAAAAATTTTTTTTTTAAGTGCAATAAAAAGATTTCGGCCTGTACAATCGATAAATTCTTGTATTAATCGATAGCAATCGATAATTATTTAAAAAGTTGTGAGTATAGTCAATGATTATCGATTTTTGAAATATCGTTTATTTATTGTTATCAATTTTATATCAATTCTAATCGTTTTCGTTTAGTTGCATTTGCATTACAGGAATAGATAAATAGGAGGGTAATTTTTTTTCCGGTCTGGTATCCTAGAAGTTGTATCCTAAAATTTAAAAATTAGATGATAAAATAAAAAATGAATAAGTTGTTTACCGTCTTGCTCTCTGTCTTGAAAACGGACCTCGGCTTAACGGCCTCGGTGCGTACATTGAAGACCTCGGGCACAGGTTTTCCCTATCCGGACCTCCTGGCCGGTAAATAACACACACACACACACACACACACACACACACACACAC